ATTAACAAAGGGTGACAGCCTCGCTGGGACACCTGCTTCCTCACATCTCCCCCACTACCGTAAACAGCTGGAAGGCATGTTAATGGGCAGGTCGCCAGGGCAAAAAAGAGCACACAGCACCAAGACAGGGAGTGTGAAGGAGCATCCCCCTGGCGGTGTAGTCAACAGAATAACTGAAAAGAGGTTACAAAGGAGAGGAAGCCACTCAGCTCATCTGGCCCCTTTGATAGTTGCTAATTGATCTGAGGATCTCATTTGATTGCAATAGAAGAGGGTGCTATAAAGGAGTTAACAGCATAGCTGGGTAGATACTCCCTCAACACTTTGACTAAAGAAGTGGATCTGTTGCACTTTTCTAGTGTGACATGTTGTTTTCTTGTCTGCTGGAGTATTGACAGGCCATGAGTTCATGCGAGCTGCAAACACCTCCTTCTCTTTGAGTAACAAACATTTGTTGGTTTTTATACTGTAAAATTAAATTATAGGACTGCAAAATGTAGCATACCTCTTTCACCAGAGTGTCAGGCTACATCTGACCTAGTACTGTCCCTATCCCTACCCAGAGATGTATACAGTAGGTCCCCTGGTTGTAACTAACACTCTGTGCCAGTGCTAATTCAATGGTTTCCATGATGCAAAACCTAACCTAACAAGATCGCATCTTGCAATTAGATTAAAATGTACATCCATCTCTTCATTTTCTAACCACTTTATCCAATACAAGGTCGTTAGTGAGCCGGAAACTATCCCAGCAGGCAACAGGTGCAAGGCAGGATACACCTTGGATGGGACACCAGTCTATCGGAGGGTAGACACACTGACATGCAGACACTCACAGTTTTTGCAGAAGCCAGTTAACCTTCCAGTATGTTTTTTGACTGTAATCACTTCTTAAAGCTTCATCCTTAACCAAATCACACACTAAATAATTTGTACCCCTTACACATATTCTGTTCATTTCTGTATATTTGGAATGGATTCTAAACCTCCAACTGTATTTAAAAGGATGTAAAACAGAGATGTGCTTCCCTGCAGGACAAAGGCTTTAATATTTAAAGACAAAAGCATAGCTCATTACCTCGCTATAAATCCTGACATTAGTTTAACAAGCAAGAAAAGTACATCTTCAAAGAGGCCACAAAGAAGAAGGGAGGAGTAGATTGAGGAAAACAGCACTGGTCAGTGCAGAAGTCTTTTTAATCTCTAGTCCCGTCCAGATTGCCATGTGTTTATAAACTGCTATTGGACGACAGGCTGAGGTTACAAATATGGAACTAGGAAGAGGCAACTTTAAAGTAAAATGGACCATCTGACTGCCCCATCTGGCAGAGGGTTCACTTGGAGTCCTAGATAAATTAATCCTTTAATTAGCTCATGATGAGCAGGCTCGTTTGGGTGTTGCACCCAGGGAAATCTGAACATTTTTTGCTAACCAGGGGGAGTGACATCTCACGTTACTCTGCAAGACCTAACACCCAGACGAAGAGGAGAATGCACAAAGCAAATGAGCACAAGATCTATTTATGGATTTACCATCTATTTACCATCAGCGGTGTCTGCCTTACAAAGGCTGTGCATGCGTCACTCCCGATCATCAAAGACCATCTCACGAGAGCGGGCAATTCCAAACAGCTGCACGGAAAATGGAAAACAGAGCTCCCAATTCTAAATAAAAAACAAAAGGAAGTTCCAACTCCCTTTTCTTGAAATCACCTTTCCCTCTACATACATGTCTAGACTTCCTAGTGCTCCAGCCATTAACTATTTACCAGCATGGCATTCTGTGCAGCGCGTTCTGACTAATCTGCATCTGTACGCGCAGCAGGGGTAATGTGTTCTGTTGTCTTTTATAGCACACAGAGCACCCGAGAGAATCCCGCCTTTAACGGAAACCAGGAGATTCGCAACAGACGCCACCAAGATAAATGCAGGGATGCCGCCACAAGACAGAAGACTCTGCCTATGCTCTTCCACAGACCTGCTCCGGATCCAGAGTGGGATGAGGCCTCCAAGCCTTTGCTAACTGGCTGCGTTATTGTTAGAGCTTCAAAAGAGCAATTTTACATTTCATGGCTCCGCTTCTTCCGAAATGTGCTGCACATTACAGACCAGGAAAAGGACTTTGTGTTCATTTATCTTCAAGGTGATCATGTACTATAAACTGTGGCTGGGGCATAGGAAGACTACACCCATATGAAAATTGACTGTTAGAAGTTTACTGTAATGTTTTTACAGTTTTAATGTTGTATTATCATAGGTGAGCTATACTGTAGGTCCCTATGGTTTTCCCACATTTTGATCTACCACACCATATTATTCCCCTAGTTCAGAATAGTAACGCACAGTAAAAGCAATAGCAAACCATAGCAAATCTATGTAGCCACTATGGTGAAAAACAAAATACTTTTAAAAGTAAAACTTCTTTCCTCATATGTGGAAAAAATCTTTCAGAATACGTGGTCCACAGAAGAGTGACTAACAGTGACATTATGACAGGGAAAGAAAACAAAGTAATTGAGAGCTCTGCTGTAATGGAAGCTAGACGACCTACAGTTCTTTCACTGCAGGAGTGCAGGACAGAACAGCATTGGTCTCTAATTCAAAGCCACGTCAGGCACTACTCCTGTTCTCTTTTCTCCTGACAGACTGGGTCATTTTTAATCTGAAGTAGGCCAGGTTCACAAGGTGATGTGTCAGACTGAATCAGACTGTAATGGAGTAAACAGCACCTTAAAAACTAACTCTCAATGAAGCAGAGGAGCTGCTGAGCCAGAATTTAGTCACATTTCAAAATTAGTTTTTGTAATTGGAAAGCAAAAGGATACCTTTCCTCCGTGCCACGGCAGAATTTTACATGCGCTCTCACGTAGTGTTTCTCCCTAGATGCCCCATTGTTAAGGCTCCATCTTTACTTCTCCTGGGAGAGTTACTAGTCATCACAACAACCTCCAATCTGTGCAGAAATTAAATCTGAGAGTCAAATGAGAGCACTTGTAATAGGGTTTGTACAGATTAAGTGATCTAATAACAAGAAAAAGGAGGTGATGTAAAATTCCACTTAAAGAGAAACAAAGACCCCAAAATGTCCCCTTTTGCCTGCCCTCAGCATAAATCATTTGCTCTTTACTGCACTAATGAGGGATCACTGGAATTCACTCAGATTTTCTCTTTGATTGGTCCCCTGGTTCTTTAAGGACAGAAGAAAAGGCTCCTAGAAAGACTACAGATAAGAGGAGCTTGCTCAGTGTCTTTACCTTCCAGATTAGCTCATTATTCCCAGGGCCCCATCAGGATTCTTCTTTAATGATCCTCCCTCCATGACTCAGCATCCATTGTGTGAAACCTTTGCTCCACAAACCAACAACCTCTTGAGGAAAAGAACTTCTAATCTGAGGTGAGCTGTATTTTCTATTGAGATTTTTCTGACTCTGCTCTCCAAGTTCAAGAATATCCAGACACATGTTTTCTTTATTTTGTTCCTTAAAACACTGAACCACAGTTTATTATTCTTCTGATCATGATTATGATGATGATGTACCCACCACATATGGAAATCTGAACCCAAGAAGGTCCAGCTGACGTGCTCCTCTGTCACATACTGCCACATTCACAGTACCAAAGAGGAGAGTTAACACTGATTGGAAGAGCAAAAGGTCCTAGGAGATCCTGTTGCACTAAGAGTTGAGAGGAACCTGGCCTCAACATGCGCTCTGAACAAGCACCTTTAATGGCCAAGCCACTGTGGAGCGAGTGGGCTGATGTCAGATTTTGAAAACCTTGGCCATATCACTGAACTTATTTTCATCTATCCACATTCGACATGGTCATGTCATGTTTGAGTCATGTTGGTTTTCCAGTCGTGACTCACTGTGCTGTGACCCGTGCTGAATCTCCTACTGTAATGTAATGATTCCATTGCAACATGGGGCTCCAGACGAGGCCACATTACTTGCAGTGAGCACATCACAGCCAGACATGTTTCCTAATCAAACCCTAGCAACAGGGAGACCATCACGCATCACCGGTCTTATTTAAAACTCCTTCCCTCCTACAGTAACTTCATGCTTTCAAGCTCAGTCCTTCTTTTCATACTCTTCCCTGCGCGCTTTCACTTGGATATTTGTGGTGACGCTCAGAAAAAAAAACAGCACTTAGCCAAATTCATCCCTGAACATCTTTGTACATTCAAAGTGGAAAAGGTCACCCTTCCACCAACATAAATATTTTGCAATGAACATTGCTGACCTGATTTTGAAAACAGATTAAAGGGTGTCCTTCTGATATTGCTCTTTGCTGTCTCTGTGGTTTGTATTGTAACTGCTTTTGGCAAGTTGGCACCTCTGTGTAGACTTTTAGTTACCATGCAAACCAGCTACTCCAGTGTGAAACCATTCCTCCAAGGACAATGAAAGGAAATGGCATGGAGACATGTAATGATGTTATACAATAACCGTCAGGGGTTGAGATACCAATTTGCTTCCTCCTTCCACTTTCCATGGCTTTGGGATATCGTAAGTGAATTCAGCACTACCTACTGCTCTGCTAGTGATTCTCTACCAGGCATAGATTGCAATCTTGAAAATGCACACCAGAAATTTAAATAAAATGTTACTTCTGGAAACTCCTGTAAAAATGCCAAAGAGATGCCAACATTGGTGTCCTAACAAAACCAACCCTCACTTAAGATCCCTGCTTTGGATCGCAACCCAAAGTGTGTAGCACAGGCAGCAATTTGAATAGCATGCAGATCTGGGGAGATGGGTTAGCATTTTAGCTCCTCCTGGCCGGAAACAGGCCAGAGCTGGTGTTCACCCCTTTGTGAAAATCTTGTAAAGCTCTGGAACTCTGCACTGTTGATAAAAAAACAGGGTTAAGAAGCAGTGTGTGAGAGAGAGTGTGTGTGTGCGTGATGATGTGTGCGTGAGTGAGTCCGCTGGAGGCCTGACAGACTCAGTGGCTGCCTGCGGGCTGGGTGGCAGTGGTGTTGGGGGGGTACTCACTGTAGGGGACGCACTCGTACTGGATCTCCAGGTACTTGTAGGTGCCCGGACAGGGATCTGGGAACACATCGGAACCCGCTACTACCACACACTGTGTCCGATTGTTGCATCTGTCAAGGAAAGAAAGAGAGAAGATATGTCAAGAAATCCCAAAGGCAACAAGGTGACATTGTTTTTCTTCAGCTTGTCAGCACAACAGCACTGGAGTACTGTCTCTTATCAGTGGAATTCTGGAGTTATCATTCATTTTTTTGTCCTACTGCTTTAAAAAAAAACAACATACAAGGCAGCAGCTGGCACTAATGTTTACTCTATAAAAATATAAATGAATAGACTGATAAATAGATAGATGAGATATGCCTCGCTGATGCAACGTAATAAGGTAAGAGCTAAATAATATTCGCATTCCCATAATTCATACTGCCTGCTTGCTCTTATACACATCATAGCCTTGACAGGTGTTCCTGTTAGATATATAGAGTGCAAAGTGAATCACTTTTTAATAATAGGTTGTGCCCTGCAAAGCAATGTTTTTTTTTTCCTGTAATATGTCTTTTTACGTAAGAATTATTAGCTAAACAATTTTTAATGCATTTGTGAATATTACCAGCACACAGGATTTGCCAGGTCAAAATCCTTTCCTAGCTCTAACCTGAAAGGACAATTTTCATCATTCACTTCATGGCTTTGCCAGCCATTCACCGACGACACCTAATACTGTAAATACTGCCACTAAAATCCCGAGCACCGAAAGATAGTAAGCTCCTGTCCAGTGAGTATGAAATGTTACACCGATTATATTAAGCTACACAATTCCTGCCAGCCTTTCTGCTCTGCCTGTCAACTTTTATATCATCTAGCATTTCTGTCAAGATTTTCTTTTCTACAAAGCAGTTTCCCACTGAACAGCATTGCAAAAGTCCAACAGCTCATTAGGTTATTTACCTAGCAGTATTTCTTCATTTATTCTTAAATTTTGAGCCTGTGTTATCCACACATCCATCCACTAACCACCTTATCCAGTTCAGAGCCACAGAACTGGAATATCCTGGCAAACAATGGGTGCAAGGCAGGATACACCCTGGACGGAATGCCAGTCCATGGCAGGGTACACAAAGGCTCACACCAGGGCCAATTTTCCTAGAAGCAAATTTACCTAACAGCATGTCTTTGGACTGTGGGAAACTGGATCAATCAGAGGAAACCACACACAGGGAGAACATACAAAGTCCATGTACTGTGCATAGCACCTGAAATTGAACACAGGGCCCCAGCACTGCAAAGCAGTAAAGCTAACCATTGTTCCATTGAGACACCAGTTTTTGCTCCAGTGTAATATACTAGGCCTAATTGTAAATGCAATACATCATTACTGAGAAACTGCCTGCAGATTTGCACAACAAATAAGTGCTACATAAAAATCAGCTTAAAGCAGACATGTATAAAATTGAAGAATTGCTTGTATATACAGTAGTACAGATTTTTGTGCAAGGATAGATTTTCATAGACTGTCCCCCTACCTGTAAGCATTAAAGGCTATCAGAAACAATATGACACAATAGGTTAGGGATGCCAGCAACTGTGACATACCTCTACCTTCACAAGGCAGTTTTTTTTTTAAGTCTAATACAATTTAGACCATTATAATGATGGGTGCTAAATCTTTCTTCACAGAGAATGAAAACTCTGCAGGTGATCCACTGAATTAACTGAACATTTTGTAGCCTGGTCTTAACTTGCATATGGCCGGTATTTAGACACAGGGAAGACACAAAATGCCCTTAAAAGGTTTGGACGTTAGCGATGCTCTCACTTGCCTCCTGGAATCCCAAACTCCATTTGTTTTCATTTGGAAATATAGATTTTCACAGGATTTCACTCCCTTGTTATTTTCCATGGGTTTGGATACTGAAACATGTTGATTTCTTAGAAAATGGGTACCTTACTTTAATAAGAATCCCTGTCATTCTACAGACCTGGTTGGGACATATAGGTATTTAATTCAGTCAGGCAACAAGCCAGCTTTACATTCACACTCATATAGTACAGTATATACAGTATACAAAAGCACTATAGATAAAAAACACTAATAAGGAAGACTGATATACAAAAACTAACAGGCTCTAATTTGGTTTGCTGGGAGCCTAGTGCATTCTCATTTACTTTCCATCTAAGCTCTTAATTACTCAATTGAACAGGTAATTGGCTTAATTAGACTTTTTGATTATCTGCAGCCCCTAAACTGTTCCAATTTCCAAACTTTTTTTTGATTACATGAAATCAACCTTGTTAAATCATGAAAGCTATTGAAAAAAGGCTTAATTAAACCAATCGCTAGATCAATTTAGTAATGAAGTGAGCGAGACCTTTGTCTAACAAAAATCAGAAGGCACAACGATCCAGAAAAGCAAGATTGGGATGTGCCGCTACAGAAGACAAAGATAGCTGGCCAATTCAAACATCTATATTTCACTGTACAGAGATGCAGCTTGTTTAGCAGATTTGAGCATATTCTCAGATGGCTCAAGGTCATATTATATAATTAAATAATTTGTTGATGATTTTTTGGACAGTTGGTGTCACCAACAGAAAGATGTGTGAGCGGAGGGCAATTTCTGGGAGATTATGGATTACTTGTTGGAGTCAAGGAGGAGATGCAAATTTCCAGGAGACTCCCAGAACTTCTGGGAGACTTGGGATGCCTGCTATTTCATACACCAAAAATTGAGCCAACTGGAATGTATTCCCATGAATAATGACTGTGCATGCTAGAGAGTGCTATATTAACTCAAATGAACCAGATGACTCATGGGTGGCCACTCAATAGGGAGCACTGTTGTGGCTCCCCACCACTTTTCTACTAAAATTCTACTACAGTTAATTGGAAGTTGGATTTAAAATTAAAACAGAAATATTGCATCTTTTTCTTTTCTTTGTCAGAAATATGAAAACTACAGTGTATTTTGTTGTTCCTCCAGCTATTGTGGCAACCGCCACAAAAAACGTGAGTGTGCTCAGTTACACACCCTGGGGCGATCTCCTTCCTGTCCTTGCCAAGCAGTTTTAACAAATGGCGATAACCACCTATCTGAGCTGTCAGTGAGATGCCTGTGCTGACACCCTTAGCCATGTAAACAGCTGTTACCCGGGAAACAGGAGAGATCCGTTTGAGGGTGAGAGAGGAGAACTGAGAAATGGTGGCAATTGATGATGCTAATTCACCAATGGCACAATTACTCTTAGGAAAGTGCTTTGATGAGAACATTCAGGCTGAAAACGACTTGGACTGGTTCTGCACCTGTCAGCAGAAGAAGCAAGTTCGCAGACTTCTGAAAACATTTGCAAAATGAAGTGATTGTGTGGTATCGGGCAGGGTCGGAGTGTAATTAAAAGAACTTTGTTTTATTAATGTTGTGCAACTGCTGTTGTTTTGTGCCCATTAGTTTTGTATTCAATCACAAAAGCAAAAGAAATTTGTAATACGATATGTAATGATTTCTGTGCACTGGCCATGACTGGGTGATACAGTACAATAACTGGCTGCACACAGTGTCCACTATTGCTGTCCATAAGCAAGGCTTGGACATGATGCCTTATGAATGCCTGTTAAACATCTTTACTGCACAGTTCTCATGATACAGGCATTTGAATAGAACAGCTAACTTTATAGGCACCTTTGTATATCACAATATAAGATACAAGCCTCACTTAAATGTTTAGAGGGTATTCCTGTATTTTAAACACAATCACAACTGTGCATAACTCAACTTTCTGTTCAGAACTGTGCATATACCTGTATGTAACAAGTTCAGCTCTCCTGGGCTTTGGTGGGATTCCATCTCGGACATTTGTGGGCTCCCAGCATGCACAGCACCACTCCCTAGAGAATGGAGAACTTGCTAGGTCCTCTGCCACAGAAGAGTTGTCTAGACTTCAGTTGTCTAGACTTCAGACTGGGGTGACATCACTTCTGTGTCTGTCTCAGTGCAGGAGCCTTGTTACTGTACGTATACACAGGGGACAGATAACCCCACTGAGAACAAATGGTTTATGTAGCTAATGAATACAGGTTATGTATGATTGAATTCATTTCTGCAAAAAATGTCACCGCTCTGTATACCTGGTCAGTCTTTAACCTTAACCACTGTTATTAGCTGAACTCTGTCAGCCTAGTTTTTTGTCAACCTGGGATAAACCAAGTGCTTGATGTGGAAAAAAGTGTCAGTCCCCTTTTCCCTGGCAAAAAAAAAAAGTACTTAACGTTGGCAAATATTTGATGGAAATAGGATTTGGTTTTTCATGTGACACTAGTTAAAAATAACACAACTGAGAAGCCCTGTCTTTGGTGACAGACTGCACACATAGAAATATGCCTCACTTCATTTTGGTTTTATCCTTACAAATTGGTGAAAATGTGATTCCGGTCCTCTGTCAGAGAACAACTCAAAATCTGTCTTGCAAATGGCAAAACAATTTGCTGGGAAAAGTTTAAGAAAGTTTTTGTTTTTCATGATCACACCTGAAGATATTCACGAACAGGATTAAAAAGCACTCTCATGTTATAGCATTCAGGATTAGGGATTATAATCAGGCGTGTTTTGAATCTCACTTGATTGAAATGGCAAACAGCGAAGTTATTAAGGAATTTGTTTAGTTCCACTAAAAGTGCTGAGGCTCAACAAGAAGTGCCGGTACTCAGACAGTACTGGCCCAGTTCAAGCACTGGCTAAACCAGTTAATACTGAAGGCTTATTCAGATTCTTTCTCAGCCTGAGGAGGACAGTGAAATTGTTCAGTTGCAAAAAAAACATCTCTTCATAGATATTCTCATGCTCATATTTGTGGACAGGGGAGAAACAAAATGGCAAATATCTGAATTCCTAACAATTTTTTTCCATTTATCCCCATAATAAAAAAAGTAGATTCTATTTTTCAGGATTGTCAGCTAGGTCTAAAATCTCAACACAGAGAAATGACCTTGAAACGTGCGGCTCTGAGAGAGATCAGATTTGCCTAATTGACTGAAATAAATGTTTTCACTGCTTTGAAGCCACCTGAAAAAGGTGCTTGATTGTGTGAAGGTGACAGAGAGTCACTGAAATCTCACAGA